CTTCGTTAGGTCTCCTAAGTAGGGGCTGGGAGAACAGAAGCTGGCCCTATGGTACCCTTTGCTCTCTTACTTGTCAATGAGGAGCTCCTTTTCCTTCAGAAGGTGTTCATTACTGTTCAAGATGCTGACCCATTGTGCTGGTTCTAATGTGGGCAGTGAAGGAGCAAAAGCAGGGGGATGGTGGCAAGTGGTTCCATTCTGAAGCTGAAAGACAAGCAGGTCCGAAGGGGCTTGATCTTAAATCATAGGCACCTGAAAACACCTGAGCAGTACCTGGCTGGCTCTGTAGTCAAGGCTAACTCTGGGTCGGCCTAAGAAGGCCCAGTGTTTATGAATAATTTTAGCTCTGATGCATGACTGGAAAGAACCTGCCAGGGAGACTTCTGCCAACTGGACACTGCTCAGAAAGGCTCTAGTTTCTAAGAAAAGGTCAGTTATCTTTCATTATCTGGCAACAGAGGCAAACCAAGAGCTAAGATGTCCTCGACAACCAGGAAAAGAGAGTATGTCTAGCTTCTTTCCTTCCCACTCTTAAGCAGCAGCAGGACTTTTTTTAAACACAAAAGTGGTATAGTGGGAAAAGTATAGCAGTTCAAAGGCAGTTTTCAAACCCTGGCTCTCTGCCACTTAACCAGCTTTGTGACCCTGGACAATTATTTACTCTAAGAACCTGATAAATTTCTACATACACCACATCAGAGTGCTAAAAGGATCCAATAAGATTTTGAATGTAAAAGTACCTAGCCTGGTGACTTTTTTGGGTCTTTCCTTACAACCCTCTATTTTGGAAAACCCATCTGGTGTTTAATTAGACCACCAACAGATCCAATGGGATTTATAAGCCTTAACTTCCTATCTACAAACATCTTCCCCCTTTCTTACAAATGTTTTCTTTAGAGTCAAAACAGGACAAAACTTATACAGTTCAAAGATCTGCACAGGACCTGCGAAATCCAAGGAAGAAGGGCCTTTACCTGCATTTGCTCCATTTGTAAACGAATCAACTCCAGATGCTGCCGACAAGTGCTGAGCTCACAAGATTGCTCACAGGGATGCCAAGGGTCAGAGTTTGGCTGCCACACCTGAGAGGGTAGAGGCTTGGAGAGCCCAGGAGCAGGCTGAAGACCCAAAGGGAGCAACCCGCTGCTGCTAGGGTGTAGTCCATTCCGCTCACAGACCACCCCACTGCCTGGTGCCTTCTTGGTCTCAGGCAACACTTTGTATAACTCCTTGTTTGGGTCGGTTCTTAGGTTGTGGAAGTGGGCTTTGTAGCGAGGATCTGAATAAAGTGTCTCCATCACTGCCGATTGATTGAAGGTAGATTCCATATTGGGAATATCAAACTTCCTCATTTCTTCTTCTCTTTCATGGCCCACTGCTGGAAACCAAGACTGCTCAATTCCATTTTCTCCAGCAGCACCACAAAGATACATGAAGTCTCTAGATAGACCTGGAGAACGTTTCATTGCACCGAGGTCTCCATTTCTTGTCATCCCCACACTTTCAGCCAATCCCGACAAAGGGATTTTAGAGGAAGAGGGTCTGTCAGGTATAGAATTTGGCTTAGCAGGAGAAGCCCCCAAAGTAGAAGGCATCACATGGGCTGTTGGAATGGTTACGTGGCTTTTGATGGGCTGGAAAGAAGGGCTGCTACTCGAGCTGCAAAAATCTGTAGAGAAAATAAGTCTTCCATAAGTCAAAATTAAAGCAGCAAGCTTTCTTCAGTTTAGCTGCTATGTCAGATGTCCTCTGCCTGCCCTGAGACCAGGGAGAGAGGGCACTATCATCACAAATATCAGGAAGAAAGACACAACAGCCTACCTGGGGAATGTGTGTTCTAAGGTCTCAAATGCCATTCACAAGTAAACCAAGAAAAGGCAACACTGGCTTCGTTTTTAACTTACACCCTGTTCCTTGCATTTGAATAAAAAAATCTTGCCAGTCAACAAACAAAGTTGAAAACTGAACTTAAAAAAAAATCACTTACTTAAGGAAAATGGATTAGATCCTACTCTTCTGGGAGCTGGGTACCTCTAAATTACAATCCAATCTAATAAAAATATCCTTTCCAAGAGCTGCAAGAATCTTCTGTGATCTCCAAAAGCTTCCCAGTGAAGGTGAGCAACGCATCAAAACTATCTGAAGAATAAGGTGAACTGGACAGTGCTCCTCTGTATCCAGGGCAGGGAGTACGGCATCTGAATCAGGATTCTGTTCTCTCTCCCACACTCCAGAAGTAACTGCCTGAATATGTGAAGTTATTCTTAGTAACTCTCAGGTTTCACTCTAGCACAGAGAGCACTCTCAAGTGGGTACGCACTGAAATCCTCTATTTTATATTTTGCCTCTCACTTACCCCTTTGTCTGTCTCCAACTGTGATTTTTCCCCTATTCTTTCATAGTGGACTTACATTTCCTTTAGTTCCTTTCTAGTCTTGGAAGACAACTCTCATTAGCCCTGCCACAGAAGTCTCACATTTCTACACATTTTCAACTTTAAAGTGCTACGCTGAAGAAGCCCTAGCCATTGTGGATCAGTGGATTGAATGCCGGCCTGTGAACAGCAAGGTTGCTGGTTTGATTGCTGGTCAGGGCACATGACTGGGTTGTGGGCCAGGTCCCCAGTTAGGGGCATGCGAGAAGCAGCCAATCGATGTTTCTTTCCCTTCCTTCTCCTCTCTCTAAAAATAAATAAATAAAAAATAAAGTGCAACTCTGAAGAAGACTACAAGGTCATAGAACTAATATGTCAGGGCAGTGGACTACAAGCAAACCAGAAAATGTACCTATTATCTTCAACATGCAGAAACCTGAGTAAGGGAACAAGGAATATAAATGTCTTCCCTTTTCAAGTATGCCCAGTACTCTTTTCCAAACCAAGCACATCTACCATGAAAAGAGTGAACTATCAACCGGTTTCACATTTTTTAAATGTTTTTTAAAAGATTTTATATATTTACTTTTAGAGAGAGGGGAAGGGAGGAAGAGAGGGACAGAAACATCAATGTGTGCTTGCCTCTCGCATGACCCCTACCAGGGACCTGGCCCGCAACCCAGGCATGTGCTCTGACTGGGTATAGAACTGGTGACCCTTTGCTTCGCAGTCTGGCACTCAATCCACTGAGACACAACAGCCAGGGCTCACTTTTTTCTTTCCATTAACCAACATAGAACACACAGCTGATGAGGACAGACGCTATTACCTTTCCTAGAATTAAGTCAATATAGATGAGCTACCATCTTTTCATATAGATTTGTAAGCAGCTCTTTAAAAAAAAGGTGAGCCAAATTATCCCTTGTATTGTATGCAGTGTCTAATTTCCTACATTCAAGATATCCTGGGGCTAAAAGGCCATACTAAAAACAAGCAAAGAAAACAAAACAAAAAAACCCCCAGTAATTTCTGATAGCTTGTATCAGCCTCTCAGGACCAAGAAAGGACATTTCAGAGTCAAAGAATGTTTTTGATGTCCCACAATTTGAATACAGGACTAGTCAACAGGTAGACTGGTGATGATGAAGACTTCTAATACTAGTAAACTCTCGATTGAAAATCCTCCATAATGGCACCATAGTAACCACTCTCACCAGTGGTCTCTGCTCCCAAAATATAATTTTGGAACAGAAGACAGTGAGATTGGGCATACAAGGGGTTGCTACTATGTTGATGTTAGTAACACTTTCCATTCTCCCTCCACAGTACCACTGTTTCTCAAGACTCAAATTCAATTTTGATCCCATAACACCCAAAGTGGTAATGCCAAAACCAAAGCCAAAATGTAACAACTGACCCCAGAGAATGTTGCTTTTCTAATTTCCTAATGAGTGAGGTCTCCCTATGGATGACAGAGGAAAGTGAAATCTTTGTCAGCATTTGTCACTTGTCTATTTGGTTTAATTATATTAAGGAAACTGCCTGATTCTGACAAACTGCTATAAAAGTAAAGTTACACCTTAAGTCTGGTTTGTGGTTCAGAACATTCTAAAACAAAATAACAATACTTATTTTCCAAGGAGTCACTATCTTGCACAATTTTCAAAGGCTTTCGAAACTTAGTGTATGGGATATGTCATTTTTATTTAGACAAGTCTGCAGTCCCCCAAATCATTGGGTTTTTACCACTTTGAAGATATATTTCTAAATCTCTCTTCTTCTCAACCACATCCACCCCACACCCCTCCAAAAAACCCACAATGCATTCTTTTTAGCAACCCTCCTTTCCTGGCAAGGGGTAGTAGATTCAGCTACTGTTAAACCTTGATCACTCTGCCTACATCACTTACTGGTTTATAAAGTGTGAACTAAGCCAGTGATTATGTCAGTCTTTAGCAAAGAGCTGAAAGTTTTCTGAGCTCTCCAGTATCCACCTCTGCCCTGTCCCTTGCAAATCTTCAAGGTAAAACACCTTATTGGAATGGAATCAAAAGCAAGCTTGTTCAACTTATAGATGCAACAATGAACTAACTATATTTTATACCAGTCATAAGGGTTCTTGTCAGCTGTGCTCCAAATAAACCAAGCTAGATTCATGAATGAAATGAGCAAAGATTAAAATTAAGGATCACAGCATAAAACAAACCTGGTAGAGAAAACATCTTGCGTTCTTTAAAAAACTTCTAGACCAATGGCTTTGACCATTACATCAAGGCTACTACAATTTAAAAAGAAGGCATTACAGCTCAGTGCATTGCGTGCCACCCCATGAATCAAAAGGCAACCTATCAATCTATCTTTCACACAATGATGTTTCTCTCCTTCTCCTTCCCCTCTCCCCAAAAATAAATAAATAAAATCTTTAAATGAAAAGAATGCATTACAGCCCTGACTGGTGTGGCTCATTGCAAGTCATCCCACAAACCAAGAGGCTGCCAGTTCAATTCCCGAATAGGGCACAGGCTTGGATTTCAGGCCAGGTTCCTGGTTGGGGCGTGCAAGAAGCAATAGAATTGATGTTTCTCTTGTACTTCAGTGCTCCCATCTCTCCTTCCCTACATCTCTCTCTAAAAATAAATAAATAAAGTCTTTAAAAAATTTGGTGCAGTTGAGTTTCCCACATTTGGGGAAATCACAAGGGTCAGCACATCTGGAATGTAACAAATAAGCCTCACCCAGAAAAAAACACCTTACTGATCATAGTATCTCCCCTGTCAGGTTAAGTATGTGAATTTGGCATTTTTTTACTTAGCATAAATGTTCTCAAAGTTCATTCATTTTGTAGCATGTATCAATACTTCATTTCTTTTTACTGCTGAATAACAGGCTATTCTATGAATACACTATTTACATTTTACTACCATTTATCATTATTTTTTAAATTTTAAATTTATTTTTAGAGGGGAAGGGAGGGAGAAAGAGAGGGAAAGAAACATCACTGTGTGGTTGCCTCTCCCAGGCCCCCTACTGGGGACCTGGCCCACAACCCAGGTATGTGCCCTGACTGGGAATCAAAGGGTTCCCTCTGGTTCACAGGCCGGTGCTCAATCCACTGAGTCACACCAACCAGGGCCCACTATCATTTGATAGAGATTTAGGTTGTTTCCATTTTTTGGCGACTATAAATAATGCTACTATGAGCATCTGTGTGTATATAAGTAAGAGTAGAACTGTTGAGCCACAGGTAACTAACTCCACGTTTAACCTTTTCAGAAACTACCAAATTACTTTCCAAAGGTTCTGTAATATTATACATTCCCACCAGCAACATAAAAAGGTCCAAATTTCTCTACATTTTCACCAGCACTTATTATTATCTTTTTGATCACAGCCATATATCTAGTGGGTGTCACATTCGTCAAAGCACCAAAGTAACTAGTTTTGTGATTTTAATCAATTAATTTAAAACACTTTTGAGCTCTAACTAATGTGGCTCAGTTGGTTGGGTGTCATTCCACAAAGTGAAAGCTTGCCAGTTCGGTTCCTGGTCAGGGCATATGCCTGGGTTGTGGGTTCAGTCCCCAGTTGGGGTGTATATGAGAGGCAACCTTCAATGCTTCTCTCCCTCCTCCTTCTCTGTAAAAATAAATAAATTAAAAGTAAATAAATAATTTTTAAAAACCATTTTGAGTCCTGGTTGGTGTGACTCAGTGGACTGAGTACTAGCCTCTGAACCAAAAGGTCACCAGTCCAATTCCCAGTTGAGGGCACATGCCTGGGTTGCAGGCCAGGTACCCAGCTGTGGGCAGGTGAGAGGCAACCTATTGATGTTTCTCTCTCACATCTATGTTTCTCTCCCTCTCTTCTGTCTCTGAAAATAAATGAATAAAATATTTTTTAAAGAAACCTTTAAAATTCAGTGATCTTATCTGTAAAATGAAAATAAAAATACTTCATAAGGTTCTTAAAGGCATTAAAGAAAAATATTTTTAAAATTTAGTACAGTATCTACCACAAAATATTGAATAAGTTGTCATTAATAATTATCATTAGGTCCTCTGCCTTCTAGGAATTCACCATCTAAATGAAAAACAAAATATCATCTAAACAAAAAGTATTGCTGACAGTTATTGATTTAAGTGCCAAAATAAGTGACAGAAACAATAAAGACATAAGGTTGTAAAAAGGAAGATTAGCAATGGGTGGAAAGGATGGGAAAAGTCTGGTCAGGCACTTCACTAACCTTGAAAAATAAGGCCAGCATAGCTGGGACGGACAAGAGGAGGTGGGAATACCATAAATGGGACCAGATTAAAGAAGCCCAGATATTTAAAAAAAAAAAAGTTCTTCACTTTCATACCACACTAAGACAAGAGACCTGGTGGCAGTAAGAAATACATTGAAACAGGTGGGAGAAGAACTGAGGCTTCTGAATTTTATCCTGCAAATAATGGAAACAATTGACAACTACAAAAAAGGAAAACTATGGAATCAAGCTTTCAGAAGGATTAATGTGGCAGTAGAGGGAAGGTTAAAAAGTTGTTTGAGACAGGACAAACAGCAGAAATTGAGAAGAGGGGATGAGCTTTGAGAAGCAATGGGGTAAGAAGAATCGAGCAGACTCCTTATGAATATTTTGGAAATGACAATATATCTGAAACACAATCTGAAAATAACAACATATACTGGTAATCAAATCATTAACACAAACTTACCCTCCGCCATGTCTGAGCACGATGTGCCAATGGCTGTGTCTCCACTGTCAGTAACACTCGAACAGCGAGTGAAGCGGCTCCGAAAGGCCTCTGAGATAACTGGGGTCTGCCATTCACAACTCAGAGAACTGCCCTTCTGAATCACATTGGAAGCTGAAACAAGTGGGATTTCCACCTTTAGTGTTAACCAGCTGATAATTACCCCACAAGGCTGTTTTTAAAAAAATCACTTAAGCCTATGAAGGAAGAGCAGCACCTTACCCCTTTTCTCTCTCCTGTGCCTATTTTAGCAACTCTCATTTTGCTAATTTTATTATTTTTTAATTTTTTTATTGTTGTTCAATTCCAGTTGTCTCCCCTTCCCCTGCATTACTCTCTCCTGCCCTGCCCACCCTTTTAAAAAAAGATTTATTTATTTTTAGAGAAAGAGGAAAGAAGGGAGAGAGTGACAGAGACATCAATGTGTAAGAGAAATACCAATCAGTTGCCTCTTGCACACCCCCAACCAGGAACCTGGCCCACAACCCACAGATGTGCCCTGACCAGGAACTGAACCAGCAACTCTTTGGTCTGCAGACTAGTGCTCAATCCACTGAGCCACACCAGCCATGGATGATTTTGTTAATTTTGAATGGAAATAGCATGAGAGAAATAGCATTTAAAGACAGAACTAAAACCTACCAAGAATCCAGGTGTACTGAGACAGAAAACAAAATAACATTTAATATAGCTACCATTTCCTGAAACCCAGAGCCATAGCACTTTATAAACATGATCTCATCTACCTACTTGCAGAAAAGTATTATCTCATTGACACCCCTATTTTACTGAGGATAGAACTGAAGTTTGGATCCAGGCTATTCTAATCCCAATACCCACTGTTTCCTCTTACAAGGTTTCCCAACAGGTGCTTTTCATGTTCTTGGGAAGACAATTCTTCCATGTATAGTCTATACATCGCAGGATGATTTAGCACTCCTGGTCCCCATCCACTAAATGCCAGGAGCAGCCCTCACCCCTTCCTGCTATCACTATGAAACCTGAAAATACCCCCAAATGCTCCTTAGGCTAATAGGCAGTACAGCCCCCATTGAAAACCACTGTTTGACTGAACCACGGTACCCTCATGGACAGGGCTGAATCAAGATCAAAATCAATCTGAAGAGCTTTTAAAGGTAATGAGGAAGGAAGGAAGGAAGGAAGGAAGGAAGGAAGGAAGGAAGGAAGGAAGGAAGGAAGGAAGGAAGGAAGGAAGGAAGGAAGGAAGGAAGGAAGGAAGGAAGGAAGGAAGGAAGGAAGGAAGGAAGGAAGGAAGGAAGGAAGGAAGGAAGGAAGGAAGGAAGGAAGGAAGGAAGGAAGGAAGGAAGGAAGGAAGGAAGGAAGGAAGGAAGGAAGGAAGGAAGGAAGGAAGGAAGGAAGGAAGGAAGGAAGGAAGGAAGGAAGGAAGGAAGGAAGGAAGGAAGGAAGGAAGGAAGGAAGGAAGGAAGGAAGGAAGGAAGGAAGGAAGGAAGGAAGGAAGGAAGGAAGGAAGGAAGGAAGGAAGGAAGGAAGGAAGGAAGGAAGGAAGGAAGGAAGGAAGGAAGGAAGGAAGGAAGGAAGGAAGGAAGGAAGGAAGGAAGGAAGGAAGGAAGGAAGGAAGGAAGGAAGGAAGGAAGGAAGGAAGGAAGGAAGGAAGGAAGGAAGGAAGGAAGGAAGGAAGGAAGGAAGGAAGGAAGGAAGGAAGGAAGGAAGGAAGGAAGGAAGGAAGGAAGGAAGGAAGGAAGGAAGGAAGGAAGGAAGGAAGGAAGGAAGGAAGGAAGGAAGGAAGGAAGGAAGGAAGGAAGGAAGGAAGGAAGGAAGGAAGGAAGGAAGGAAGGAAGGAAGGAAGGAAGGAAGGAAGGAAGGAAGGAAGGAAGGAAGGAAGGAAGGAAGGAAGGAAGGAAGGAAGGAAGGAAGGAAGGAAGGAAGGAAGGAAGGAAGGAAGGAAGGAAGGAAGGAAGGAAGGAAGGAAGGAAGGAAGGAAGGAAGGAAGGAAGGAAGGAAGGAAGGAAGGAAGGAAGGAAGGAAGGAAGGAAGGAAGGAAGGAAGGAAGGAAGGAAGGAAGGAAGGAAGGAAGGAAGGAAGGAAGGAAGGAAGGAAGGAAGGAAGGAAGGAAGGAAGGAAGGAAGGAAGGAAGGAAGGAAGGAAGGAAGGAAGGAAGGAAGGAAGGAAGGAAGGAAGGAAGGAAGGAAGGAAGGAAGGAAGGAAGGAAGGAAGGAAGGAAGGAAGGAAGGAAGGAAGGAAGGAAGGAAGGAAGGAAGGAAGGAAGGAAGGAAGGAAGGAAGGAAGGAAGGAAGGAAGGAAGGAAGGAAGGAAGGAAGGAAGGAAGGAAGGAAGGAAGGAAGGAAGGAAGGAAGGAAGGAAGGAAGGAAGGAAGGAAGGAAGGAAGGAAGGAAGGAAGGAAGGAAGGAAGGAAGGAAGGAAGGAAGGAAGGAAGGAAGGAAGGAAGGAAGGAAGGAAGGAAGGAAGGAAGGAAGGAAGGAAGGAAGGAAGGCCAACCACTAAAATTTCTGAGTGGTTAAGATATAAAACTGATGAAATTTATTTGACTTTATTATCTTGCTGTTTAAGCGCCGGTAGGTAGGAAGTGTTCAATAAATACTTGATTTACTAATGTACTAGCAAAGCCTTAAATTCAAATTATTTTTTTAAAACTACTATACTTTTCCTAAATTATACCTCATTATCCATGTAAACAAACAAGCAAAAAGGTAATGGCAGCTACTTATTCATTTAAAGTGTCAGAGTTTAAGGTGAAATCAGAAAATATGGTCCTACAGACTCTCTGATCCAGTGGAAAGCCAATGATATTTGAACAGAAATCATCTTATTCCCTTCTTCCAAGCTACCTAATTCTTTCTACTTATGCTACCTTTTTGCTACCCTTAATTCTACCTTCTATGGAAGGAAATCTAATTTTACCCAAAGACTCCTTTTATCCTTTCAGTCACAGTGGACTACCTGATTTGAAAGAATCTATTTACCTGCAGTAATCTGTAATAATCTTTAATAGAAGACATAGCCAACAATCAGAGTTGCTGATCAGCATAAGAT